AAAAAAAAAAAAAAAAAAAGACATGGGTAGCAGGAGAACAGGGCACTAACCTACCCAAGGAGAGGGAGAGAGGGAGTAGACTTCAACTCGGAATGCAACATACCGGAATGAAGCAGGGAACCAATGGATCCCAACTATGTGGACACCCTTCCCCCTCCCCCCAGAATAATTCACTTCAGAGGACAGCACTGAAGATACAGCTCAGGGAGAGGGACATGTCTGATCAGAGCACACGGGAGCATACGAAGAGGGAAGGAGAGAGTGGAGCACCTCTTCCAAATGCTGAGGCCGGTATCCCTGCTCAGAGCAGCCAATGAACAGAGAGCACCATTGGGCTGGCCCCACCATGAGACATGACATCCCTCTTTGACCCATAGCACTACAGGGGACAACACTGGAGGCACAGTGCAGGCATTGTGCCCTATCACACCCCACCACACAGGGGTGAAACACTAAGAGCACACAACAGAGCAGCAAGGGGAGCAAAGCAATGAAGTCCTCGGGGAATACCAAAAATAGACTTTGGAGCCAGGGCATGGCACCCCATCAGATTTGGCTGGCAAAACTCCTAAAGGTCAACAACTATTTATAGGCTTGTATTAGTCTGGGTACTTTAGAGAAACAAATCCACAGAAACGCATATGTGTGAGAGAGAGTTTTATATAAAGTTTAAGTGCATATCAAGAAAACATCCCAACCCAGTGCTGCCTAAGCCCACAAGTCCAACATTAACCCATTAACCCATATGTCTGACACCAATTCACAAAGTCCTCCTCCATCTCACAAAACACACCCTATGACGCTGACTGCAGGAGGAAAGCTGAGTCAGTGAACATGTAAGCATCTCAGCGCTGGCAGGGGTCTCCACATGACTGCTCCAGCACCCAGGGCTGCATTGGGGTAGGTCCATGTGGCTTCTCCTCAGGGATGTCTTGCAGTAAGTGAGCTTTGCCAGCTGAAGCAGGGAACTGACTAAGGTAGCTGCACCCTAGTTGGACCATCACAAAGCAAGAAACCCAAGAACTGGAAAGATGAGGCTCACCGAGCCATTTATCTCTCTGCCCTTCAATTAACCCCACATGTGTTTAGTGGCCAGGTTGGCACAATAAACGTTAACTATATTAAGGCTTTTGGTTTTTTTATCATTGGGTTTTTCTGTTGGTGGTGGTGTTGTTGTTTTGGTTTGGTGTTTTCTTTTGTTGTTTTGCTTCGCTCTGTCTTGTTTTTGTGCTTATTATTGTCTCTGTGTGTCTATGTAGATAAGATAGGCAGGATAAACAATCCAGAGAAGGAAACAATGTGACCAACTGTTTCAGGGAGGACACAGGAGGGAGAGGGAAAAGGTGGGTGGGAAGGGAGTGGATGTTAACAAACCCAGGAACAAGTGATCTAAAATCAATGGTGAGGAGGGCGTAGGATGCCTGGTAGGGTTTGATCAAGGGCAATGTAACCGAGGGGAATTATAAAACCTGAGTGAAGACTGAACATGATAATGGGACAAGAGAAAAGTAAAGGGAAATAGAGAAAAGAACTGGGAGACAAATGGGTATTTATAAAGGTCTAAATATAAGCATGTATTTACATATTTACATATGTAAATATATTTATATATGTAAATATATTTATATATAACAATCGCAAAATAGATCAATGTCCATTAATTTATATGTTAAGTATTAAGGTAGCAGATGGACATTGGGCCTCTACTCAAGTGCTCCCTCAATGCAAGAACGCTTTTGTTCTAATAACCTGGCATTCTGGTTTTTTTTCCCCAGGGGATAACGCGAACGCAGTCTCCCACTACCACAAATTATGCAGTTGAGTTTCCCACATTTGGGGAAATCGCAGTGGTCAGCAAACCCGGAGTGCAATGGGTGAGCCTCACCCTGGGAAAACCACCTTCATGATCATGGTATCTCCCCTGTCATAACCTGGCATTCTGTAACGCTCAGCTTCCCGACACGATTGCTGAAGACAAAGTGGGCGCATAAGCAAATGTGGTGAAGAAAGCTGATGGTGCCTGGCTATCAAAAGATAAAGCATCTGGGGTCTTAAAGGCTTAAAGATAAACAAGCAGTTATCTAGCTCAGAAGCAACAAAGCCCACATGGAAGAAGCACACCAGCCTGTGTGATCATGAGGTGTCGATGGGATCAGATATCAGGCATCTAAGACCCAGAACAAAAAAAAACATATCTATGTGAATGAGACAGAGTGCAGACCCAAAGCCCATCTGAAGGCAACTGGACACCTCCTTACAGAAGGGTCACAAGAAAGAGACAAGACAGTCAGGTTGTAGTATAGCACTGATGAAACATACAAGTTTCCTCTAGTTCTTTAAGGCTTCCTCTCCCCCACTGTCATGACCCCAATTCTACCTTACAAATCCAGCTAGACCACAGCATGTACACGGGTACAGATAAGAGATGGAAACACAGGGAATCCAAGAGAGATAAACCCCTCAGGACCAATAATGAAAGTAGCAATAACAGGAGGGGAAGAGGTCGGTGTGAGGAGAAAGGGGGAACCTATCACAATGATCTACATATAAACCCTTCCCAGGGGGACAGACAACAAAAAAGTGGGTGAGGGGAGAAAGCAGTCAGTGTAAGACATGAAAAAAAATTTATAAGTTATCAAGGGTTCATGATGGCAGTAGGATGAGGGAGGGTGGAAAATAAGCTGACACCAAGTGCTTAAGCAGAAAGAAAATGTTTTGAAAATGATGATGGCAACATATATACAAATGTGCTTGATGCAGTGGATTAATGGATAGATTGTGATAAGAGCTGTATGAGCCCCCGATAAAATGATTTTTTAAAAAAAGAAAGTAAAAAAATCCTTTCATATGTCCATGACTCTTTCCTAAGGATAAATTTCGTGGAATTATTGGGCTAAAATCAGAAAAGCCTTGTAATGTTTCATACACATTTAATACAAACTTATTTCCAGAAAGTTTGAACAAATTTTCATTCATGCCAATATGAGAAAGTCCATTTCTATGTTTTACATGGGAATTAACATTTCAGTGTTTGTAATAGCATCCAAAACAAGAAAAACAGAGAGTTGTCAAAAATAAAAGAAAAAAAATTAAATTAAAAATAAAACAGAAACAATGTTTTATTAATGATGTTGTACCTTCTTTATTTTTCTCTATAGTCACTGTGTTTACAAGAGTGACTATATTTGTTTCTAATGTTTTCAACTGTTTTCATATCCACTTATCTCTTTATTCAGGATTCAGAGACTGATTTATCATGATGTTGGTGGTGGGAGAGTCATGTCACGGATGGCGGGGCGGGGGTGGGGGTGAATGGCTTTTGAAGAAAGTAATATTTCTTACACTAGCCCTGTCCAAACTGCTGTAAAATGCAATACGAACTCAAAAACACTTTGCAGAAAGCAGCCAGGAAAAAACACGGTGCAGACACATGGCCTTCTAGTGATTTAATGGCTCAAGCCTAGTATTTAGGTGTTCTTGTTTTTAAAAGCCCACATTCGTGTGGTTGTTCTTATGGGTTAACTACCTAATCTGCATTATTTCATAGGTTCCTCCCTTCACCCTACAAGACAGGCACTCTTCTGAAACCTAGAAAAGATAAAAATCTCAAGATGGTAAGTGATGTGACCAAGGTTTTATATACAGTATGCCCTTAATCTGCATTTTCCTGGCCATACTTTGGGCATTCTTCAACCATGGGTATCCATTCTTTATGGGCATCTGTTTGCTTGATTCTGCCTAGAATATAAACCCCCAAGACATGGCCCATGCCTTCATTCCTCCTCAATCGCCCTCATCTCTCTCTCTCCGGCTTCTTCCTAACACTGGATTTCCCTGTTGGGACCACTGCAAGGAATGAGCAAGTAAGTATTCAGTGGTTCCGCCTCACCAATGGAACCCTAACGGTTACCCTGAGGCCATGGGGCCAACCTCGCAGTTTGCTGGGGAGATGTCTGCGCTTAAATGGGCCCCTTTCCATTTGCTGCCGTCAGTGGCCAAGTTGACAGGAGTAACACTTCATTGTCTGTGACTAACCTTGCACTTTCTTCAGGAGCAGTAGGTGGATAAAACTGTCCGCTGGCTGGCACGTTATTACAGCATCCTTCCGAAGGCTTTCTGAAAGGTCAGCTGTCCTCACCACTTCCTTCGCTGTCTTGGTTACGCTGACCCAAAACACCAGGTTCCCGTTCAGCAGGCCACCTGATACTGTATAGTGATAGGGACCGTGACATTACTAAGTGATCAAGCTACTACATCTGAGAAACACCGCACGGGCCCATATTACCCTCCTTTTAAGATGCAACATTAATGCAGTAAGGTCAACGCGATGTATCCGTTACTGCTCTTTAAATTAGATGTCTGAGAGAAGGTTATCGTTTGGACATAAATTGAACCAATTTGTTCTTAAAGCTATTTGACTCTCTTTGAAGTAGAAAACAGAGCCCAAAGACGATGAAAAAATCTCGCTGTTATTTTTCACGGTACTCCGAAGCTTAGAAACGTTTTCCGTGTGAGCTGTGCTGGGTAATACTGAGCATGTAGACAAGTTATGCGTCACATTTTCTGTCCCGGTCACTCGGGTTCCTAGAAAGACATCCATAAAGGCTTTCATCCAGTCTTCTCTTTGCTCCTATAAAGCGTGACAGCCCACATTTCCTGTGTGAGTCCACTACAGGAATTCCAAACAAGCAGTCTCCCTGTGTGGGAAGAGCGTCTCTGTTATCTCCTGCCCCAGTGTTTGCCGTCCTAACCTTGCCACCTGTGAACGTGACCTCATTAGGGAACGGGGTCCTTGACAAGATTATCACTTACACTGACATAAGGGCATGCCTTGGGAGAGTAGCCCTTGGCCCGGTCTGAGTGGTATCCTGATTGATTGATTTATCTTATTATTTTTAAATAATATTTTTATTGACATAGCTTACGCATGCCAATAGATCCCTTCTCTTCCCATACAGTTCTGTTGTTCAATCCCATCCGGTGGGGTTATACAATCATGGATGCTATCAACTCCCCTCTCACTCACTCCCGCACCCCTCTCACTTCCATTACTCCTGTCAGTGTCTCTGACAGGTCGTCTCTCTTGACTACCATGTACCGAGTGATCTTAAATACACAAATGAACATATGCAAATCTAGCATGACCAATGAGGTAGCTCACATATGGACCACAATAGTAAGGGGAGGAAATCTTAAAGAACCAGGAGATAGTGGTTCGTCAGGGCCAAGCCGCATCCTGGATTGATCAAAGAGCAGAGAGCCGGAGAGGCAATGGCCATGTGACAAGGGAGTTGATCTATAGCAGCACACCAAGGACACCTACCGGGAGCCTCAAGAGACAAGGAAGAATCTCCCCCAGAGCCTTTGGAGAAAATGTGACTCTACTGACACCCTGCTTGCAAAACTCCGTCAGAGTCTCAGCACCTCCGGAACTATGAGCCCACACGGTGTTGATGGTTGAAGCCACCTCATCTGTAGTGATTGGTGACAGCAGCCCTAGGAAATGAATAGAAATGATTTGAGGCCCTAGTATGTGCATGCTGCTAAGTGGGACTACTTTTTCCAGACTCCTGAGACCTTCCATATTGAAGAAGCTCAATTAGTGCAACACATTTGGCCTTTACTCATTCCTGCTGAGAGGCAGTGCAGTGACATCGCGGAGCCCCTTTGGGATACCTTTTCTCTTTTCCCATTTCATCCTGGGCTAGGTTTTCCCTTGGTGCTCCTTGTCCTTCGTGTCACCTGGGCACATATGCCCTCTTTGAAGGATGGAAATGGTATACCATTTGTGAATTGCCTCCATATATCCTTTGTCAATGTGTTGCCTTTGGCTGTTGAACTGTTCGTTTGACTGGTAAATGCTCCCCAGGTTTGCTGGTTGTTACCTTTTGTTTTGCAACTCTTTCCTCCCAGTAGGGTGCTCATCTACCTTAATGTATAGGCTTCAGGCTAAATATGTTTTAAATGTCTTGAAGTCTAATGTTTCTGTGTTTATCTTCAGATAGACGTATCTTGGCTGCCCACTTGCTGCTGTTTGACTTACATCTCAATTTGTTATAAACACACAAAGAGAAGAAGGATATGACTTGTTGAGGCCATTCTCAATGATTGCAACGTTTGATGGGCTGGCATTTGAACAGACAGACCCACACTGAAAAATTAATCAGAGTGGAAAGGAGGAACAACAAAATATTCAGGCAGAGAGACTTTCGGTGGAGCCAGGACATGTGGTTATGAGTCTTAAATTCTATTAAGTAGGCAAGGCATTTTGACCTTGGCAATTTGCAGAGAGTTCTATTGGGCTAGTTGACTGCTGGACCCAGGTCAATGGGTGGAAGGCCTTAAAGCAGCAATATCATATATTAGCTTCAATGGGTACGGAGGCTGGCAGTGGCTCTGTCCATAGGTCAGTGACTACATTTCTAGAGGCAACTCACCTCCGATTCTATCACTGTGTTCAAAGCGCCTTTACCATTTCCTTCAATGGAAAGTAACCACAGTCACTGATGGAAATACAATGTTCTACCAGGACTGCTTAGGAACTTTAAAGATAAACAAGCATTTCTGCTGTTTTCTCTATATCTTGATTACCGTGGTCCAAAACACCAGCATCCCAGGGCACCAGCCACCTGATACTGTCCAGTGATCTTCAGAAAGGATTTTATTGAGCCCCTAACAGGTGTCCGGTGTTCTACCAGCAACAAGAAATACAGAGCTAAGCAACACAAAGAGATCTGACCTCCAATGTATCCCTTCCCAAGGCTCTTCCAACAGAAGGTCGTAAGCCCGTTCATGGAAGTAGCATGGGATGGAAGGCAGCACCGAGGAGGTAGCTGAGGGCAACCTAATGGAGAGAGGTTGGTTGGGGAGCTTCCAACAAGTGATCTACTGTCTGAACCTTAAAGGTTTTCAGGAAAATTACGACTGAAA